GAAATTTCTTTTTGTTTTACACTTGTGTAAACAAAATGACAAATAAAATCTGTCTAAGTCTACGTTTTGGTGAAAAGTAGTTAACAGGGTATAATGGTTAATGGACTTGGGAACCTTAAATACATGTGCCTGAAAAAAAATTCAGGACGCAGGTAGGAATAACCAATAAATACCAAACTGAGACCAAAACACACTTAAATTCCCAACAAATACTTTACAGAAATGTTAAAAACCTTAAGATTGTGAATATGTTTGACTTAATGCATTATTTTAACACTATATGTAAGAGAACTTTTGGTGTACTCTTACTATATGTATTTGTTTTAATGAAATATTAAGAGGTATTTAGATTTTTGTACAAATATCTTGTTTTTTGAACCTTCAATTCTTCTGAATTTACCACTGATTATGGTTTACATTGTTAAGGTTTACTGATGCATAAAGCAGCTGAGGTTACAAACCCAAACATAACAAGGGTATAGAAAGTGCTGTTGTGCAGTGAAGGTCTCCAGAAACAATTTTCTTTAACCTTGAGGCCACCACATCAGCTCTTGTTTTGGTTTGCTTACAGCTATGGCTGCACTGATGCTCAAATCAAAATCCTAGTAAGTCTTCTACAGTGTCTAACTCAGCAGAGTGTAGCGGCATATGTTCTTTAACAGACTGTCCAGATATCAAGCTAACATGCTGCTCTGGGGGTCTGTCCCTTAGGTTTTGTGACATTGCTGGGTAATTTGTCATGCGACCGCAATGATCCTAAACATTTATGACAGGTGTCAAATCAAGTTTACGTTCTCTCTGAAGACTCCATCTCAGCTACTTTATCACCCACTTCTTTTTTTTAAGCAGCACCAAGGTGAGGCCTGGTTTGTGGTGAAACGTCCATTCTCATTAATGTGAGTAACAACTCCAAAGTGGAAGAAGTGGGGAGTATTGCACTGATTTATCCTTATCAATTGGCAATTTAACCAGCAGAAAAAAGGAAAATGAACTTTTCTATGCTAAGAACAATAAGAGGGAAAACAATATTCTGTAGAAACGGTTTGCCACAAAATGATTGGAACCTCCATGTTTTCTATTTGAATAGAGCAGGGGTCTTCAAGGTTTTCCAGGCCAAGGACCCCCAAACTGATGGCCAGATCGAGCGGGGACCCCCTATTTATATACATTGCATGAAATTGTGTAATATCAAACTGGTCCTATAGTCAGTCTATTTCATATAGTGTCATGTAACGATAGTAATTTCCCCCTGGGATTATTAAAGTCTGATTCTGATTCCTTGTTGATGGGACAGGTGTTGTGAATGAAATGGTGCCCAGCTTGAAAGAGCTCCTGTGTGTCGCTGAATGTGTGCACTGATGACTGAAAGACATCTTCTGCCTCCATTTATCTGTTTATTACAGTGTGTTGAATTCATGTTAATGTGTATTTAAAGACATTTCAATTAATGGAAAAAAAGTTTTAGGGGGGAATATAAAAAAAAGTCTAATCAACCAAAACTTTTGCGACCCCCATGCAGTACCTCTGAGGACCCCCTACGGGTCACGGACCCCCTGTTGAAGACCTCCGGAATAGAGGATTTGAACTGAAAAGAACATTATGTATTTATCTAGGTTATGATCATTTAAAATGTACATTTTTTGATTATCTGAAACATTAAACTGTAACAAAAAGCAAGGGCATCTTTATGTATAGTAATATAATGCCTTGTTTTACTTAAACTTACATTTTTCCAATGTGAGATCAATACATTTCAATTAAACGCTTGATCCCTCATTTTTTTCGAGTTAATTTCAAGTGAGCAAAGTTGTTGCTTCACATGCTGAACCTTTGGATCCTTTTTTGGGAATGGTTTTTCTATCTTACAGGGGACAGTCAGGCTAGCACCAAGCCTACTAAGTACACAGCCTGATCAAGGCTGACAAAAAAAATATTTAAAAAAAATCATTAAATTTCAAACTTTTCTCTTTTAATTAAACAAATAAATAAATAAACATCTGTAACACTGCTCACTTTTATTTGTAAATGATTAATTCTTTTAAATGAAATCCAAATACCTAAAGATCCAGAATACTGAGATGGTGCATCCTATCAATAAATCTACCATAGAGGGAAAATGTAATAAAAGTACCAGGAACAGTTTCATGAATTTATTTTTTCCTCTTACCTCCCACCCACGGAGAAATCTGAGATGGCATAAAAATACGAGCGCAGCACTTTAGGATCCTTAAAAAACTCGTCTCCAAACGTATTCAGTCTGTCCAAAGAGATGAGCAGGTCAGTGGCTGTCACCCATTCCTAGAAAACAGAAAAAGGAAGAGAGGAAGATCACGTCAAGTGACAAGAAATAAATAAAACTGACAAGTTGAGAAAAGAAATGATGCCACCGGACATAGAAGAATGGTACAGAAAATAGTAGTAGTGTGTTGTCAGGTGTTTTTTTTGTTTTTCTTTAATTCTTTATAGTATGATTATTCCTGAAAGCAGCATATATGCTACAGCTAAGTGCAAAGACAGACATGTAAAGTTGGTAGAAAAGAGAGATTACTAGAATGAAAAGTTTTTAGGATCAAAAGACAAGGGTGATGGTGTATCAGCGGGAGGGATGCAGATGTAATGGAAAGATAATGAGAATGGCAAAGAAAATTGAGCTGATGTTAGAGTGAGAGAGGCGAAAGATGGAGGGGATTAATGGAGATAAAAGTTGAAATATGAAAAGAACACAACACTGCCGCACTTCTCCCCTGTAATGGATTGCACTTGGCAGAACCTCCACTCCGATAAGATTTAAGCTACTCCGCCTGAGCTCACTGCAAGGGTAAAGACAGGATAAAGCAACAGCAGGATAGAGCAGAAAGGGATAATGCAAACAGAGGGAAAGCAAAGAGAGAAAAAAAAACATTTGTGTGGAAGATAAAAGTGGGGAAAAAAAGATCACCCAATATTATGAACCCACTTTAAAACAAATAGCTGAGGAGAATGTTTCTGTTTCTTGGTTGGTTTGGGACTCTGTGGCGGTCCTCTAGAAGCCTGTAAAGCTGTGTGTTTTGAAGCAACTCCCCAGAGACGTCTTTGAAGTGTGGCAGTGGAAGACAAGGAGATTGGAGTGAAAGGGCCTCAGACTACAATCGTCTGATGACTTCCTTCATTCTTTTCTTCTTTTTGAGACAACATAGTGCATCTTTGAAGTGCTGAAGCCCATCAAATAACAGCTTTTTGCTAAGATGGAGCTTTGCTTATTTTAGAATACTATGTACAAATCAGGCAAGCTTTGTAAATCTTGCATTGCATGCTTTGTTTTATGTGAAGTATGCAATGTTCTTTACCATCCTGGAAAAGTATTAAGGATCCTGTCTTCAAATGTTTGGGATGAATAAGTCCACTTACTTTAGCAATCCTAAACCTTTTTATGATTATCAAGCCTTTATTTCACCACCAGCTGTGTGAACCAATGACACAAGGCGGGATGAACCCATGGTCCAAATGATTTGCCCAAATTCTGGTCTTACTAGCTAAAAATTGTACCTGTAAAAAAGATCCATTGAATGTGTTTACGTAATCTTGTGTCTTTTTTATTTTTTTTTATTTTTAGAGCTTAATAAAAGTTATGTACACCTATTTAAATCATCCTTCTTAGTTGTTTATTTCTTTTATTTGTAGAACGTTCAATCTTAACCATCGTACAACATTTTCTCATGTTGTAGATTTGCCGATACAGCAGAGCTTCTGATTTTTCAGTTTTATAAATTTTTCGATTTTGTAATTAGAGCAACACAACGAAGAACAACCGTCCCCTCCCGGTCTGAAAGATGCCGACTCAAGAAAGAAGAGCATGTAGTGCAGCTTGATTCAAGATGAGGAGTGAAGCCAACTTAGCCATAATAAGTTGTTATGCATATATTTTGAACAATGCATAGGCTTCTTAGGTATTGTTTCTAGTCAGCATATTTTTTTTTTTTAATGTGTTCTAAGTTTCCATGTCTGCTTCTCCTTTGTCAACACGAAATTACAAATTTTACATTTTGTTTTGGCAACCCTAAACTCCTATGTCTGAAGGGCGGTATGTAAAACTTATTATGCAACTACTTCCTATATCCTGCCTTTCAATTAGGCCTGTTTTGACTTAGCCCTAAGGTCTTAAGGTCTCTCCATTCTGCATCTCTGCAAAAACTGATATATCATTTGGTATTTTTTTTTTTAAAGAAGTTTATTTTCCCTTGAGTTAAGCAGATAAATGAGGCATTATGCCAATGGATTTAGATGAAAGAAGAAAAAAAAACAGCAAATGTGTGATATCTAATTATCTTATAAGGATACAAGTTCCCATTTCATTGCCAGATGATCTTATCTATCTGCTCAAATTAAGGGCAAATACTGATTGTCTCCTTTACTAACTAGGAAAAACGGACTGCAAGGAATGTTTTAATGAATAAGCTGGATATAAAGTCTTGTTATGAGTTAACATTTATATGTAGAAACCATATTGAATGACTCTTAATTCCTGGGTGAACACCCGTTCATTATTGAGCTGCTAACTTCGCCTGTGTCCCAAAGTCAAGTTCATTTGGGATCTAATTTCAAAAAAATACTGTCACCAAAGAAAAGGTTAAACAACAGCAGGACTTCAATGCATGTATGAAGTTTAAAGAATATTTATTTAGGAAAGTACAAACAATAATGGATGTGAACTGTAGAAGGCTAGACCTGCAGAACACTAAACCACAGGAGAAATAGTCCACAACAGAAGGAGAAAAATTGAAAAATGTCTACATTTTGTCAGCTGCCATATGATTTTTGGAATCATTAATTGTGTTTAAAAGCAAATAAACAAGTGTTACTAACAAAATACAAGTTATAGTTTATTGGATGTTGAAAATTAATCATGAGGGAACCTTCCCCTTGCAAGCTGATTTTCACACCCTGATATTTATAAATCTGTTATCACTTGGATACGATTATTCATTAAAAACATCTTGGCTTTGGCAAAAAATGCACCTTTTTGCTTCATGAGTCCCACACATAAGCTGACAGATATTATACTTTCCACCATCCTAATATCTTCTGTACATAACCCTGAAGTATTAGTCCTTGTTCACAAAGCGAATCAAATCCTTAATTGGTAGGAAGCTGGAAATGAAATTAAAGCTACTCTTTTGGGCCTTTTGGGACAATCTTTCCAGGTACACGAAAGGAAGTGTGAACAGCATTAAGAAAAAGTCAAGAAGGAAATTTTCTTTTCAGTGGTGTTCTCAACTGAAACTAGGCACAATACATACTGTCTGGAACTGAAGTCTGTAATTCAAAATGTCTTTACATTTGTCATGCCCTTGTTTAACTAGCATGTCTATATAATTGATAGTTGCTGTATGGTTCTATGTAACATACATCAAAACTGTTTATGTGCCATTTGTTTTGTTTACATGTTTATCTTGATTGTAGGTAGACTTGAAATTTAATTATTAATAATTATTAATTATTAAAATTCCCTGTTTGACAAGTCTTTGTGAAGAGAAAAAAATGTTGCAAGGTTTTTAGCAGTATTTTGCTATAGCTGTAATCATTCACATTTTACTTGAAATACAGCTGCATTATTTTAATTTCATTTTTACTTCCAGTCAATTTTCCTCCCCCAGATGCTCTCTTACTTTAGCTATAGTGCACTCCACTTCTCAGACAGTTTTCCCTTTTGGCAGCCAGTTGAGGCCTGTCAAGCAGTCACTTGATTGCATGCACAACAACAGCATTGAATGATTGAGTGTGGTCACCTGGCATGCTGTTGTTCCAACCATGGTTCAGGTACTTTACACATAGTTGTTGTCGCTTTGCAAGCTAATAGGATTGGAATGTAATCTACAGTCACAGACAGTGGGGAAGTAGATCTATTCTCAGTCTTTGCTTTGGGTTTCACCACCTAAAAAGATCAAATTTATATTCATGGCTCGTAACAGCAAGCCATGAGCCAAAGTATGATTTTGTTATGCATTAGCCAGGCTTAAGCACTGGTCAGCTATAAAATGAAATGTACTTTGCTGAAATCAGAAATACATTTGGCACCTAAATTCATTCATCTGCCCCAGTTCTCTAGGTGGCTGGTGTCTGTCTTTGGTTGCCAACTAGGATGAGTTGGGTTCTATTCACACAAATTGCAAGTTGCAAATTGCAAGTCCATCAAATGTTAACCAAGGAAGAGAAAAATCATACATTTACTCACACCCAAGAACCTTTATACTGGAAAAAATCATTTAACCTGATATATATGTTGTTTAAGCAATACAAAAAACAAAAGAAAAACTTGATTACAGATACAGAACACACTAATGCACAGAGGGAAATTGAAAACTCCACTTAAAGACTTCCAAGCAAGGGATTATAACCATTGACTTTCCTACTAAAAGGAAACCATACTAATAACTGCTCTACCAAAGAGTAGGGGGTGGGGGAATAATTCAGTATCAATATATGGTGCAAAATTATTTCATTTGATGTTTGTATGGCATTTCTAAATTTTTAGTTGACATTGCAGTCTACGATTACAGTATTTGATGCTAACATTCTGGGTTTTATGTAGTCTTACTTTTTATTTTTATTTGCAAAGCAAATATTTCCAAACTTTTATATATTGGAGTTTTATAAACATGCTAAGATAGTTGTCATCAGCATATACAGTATTGTGTTGTGGAAACCATGACGTGTTTTCTAAGGCTTTTATTTTGTTTTGTATTCATATTGAAAATATTCACCAAAATGAATGTCTATCCTGGAATAGGTTTAGGTTCTATAACCCAGCAGTACAGTAGATCTTTATGAATCTACAAAAACTGCTTTTGTGCTTTATATTATAAAAAAGTCTAGTCTAGTAAGCAAAGCTTTGATTTGTGTCACTGGGTTAAATGAATAAAAGATATGGAAATATTTCCTGAAGTATAAGAACATCAAATTTACCATTCTAACTCATAACTCTTGCACATATTCACATTTATTTCTAAGTTTGCTACATGTTTAATTTATTGAAAGTCACTGCTGAGTTGAACCCTGAATGTAAAGTGAGGTCTGTATTTCCGGAAGTTAGCTTCACCAAAATGTAGGCAAATATAAGAAAGCACATATTTGTAATTATAGTTCTTCATATGAAGAGTATTTATGGGTTATCATGAGTGTTTTGCTTTCTTCGAAGTATGCATTCAAAGTTAAAGATGTTACGATATTAGGAGAAATTCTACAGTATACTGTATTGATGTCCTAATGAGTAGAGAACAATTTTAGGATTGCTTTTTCGTTATGTTTAGCTTGTCATGATC